GAGTCGCTAGTATGATACGGCTATTAGGCGGCAATGATTGTGTTGTCAATCCTGAAATAAAAACGTATTCATTTACATTTGTGATTAGTTTTATGTATATAGAATTTTATTTATTATATAATTTATTAGCTCGCGAATACAATAATATAGGAAGCCTTAAGCCTTAAGGAATTGGTCAATCACAATCGAATGTGAGAAGAATAATCGACTATGATTGGTCAATTTTTTAAGGCTTAAGGCTTATTCTATTGTGTTTGCGAGGTAATACTTCTGCTTCTTTCTTAAACAAATATAATTAGAAAACATAACAATAAGTATATGAGGTTATAAATCCCACACCTGTATTAGTGTTTAAAAACTGATAGTTTTTACAAAATCTTTTCTGTGGGGGTTGGTTTTCATATTCCTCAACATGTATTTCTTGCAGACATATATTATCCTGATCTAGTTCTACGATACTTTCACACACATCAAATCCTCCTTGTGGAATATTATGCAAACCCGCTGCTTCTGGAGTAATAAATTCTAATAATTCTTCTTTTAAAGGGGAGAAAGATATCTTTATTGGTGATCCTCCACCTGTTTTTAAAGCATCATTTCTTCGTTTTGTCTCTTTTTTTAGGACATACATCTTCCAATCTTTCCATGTCTGTGTCCAAAGTATTTAACATATTAAAATTATTTTTATATACTATTATATAGTAAGAAATTAATTAATATTTAGTATATTGTACAAAATTTAATATATAGTATTATTATATAGTAAGAAATAAATTTATATATTTAGTATATTGTACAGAACATTCAAGTTATATAAACATTATACAGAAGATTTAAGGCTATGTTAGGTATACACAGAGACACAAATGCCATAATATCCGAATAAGTCGCATATATGGGAGAAGGTGTGAAAAGGAACAGAAAGAAGGCATGAAAAAGTATGGCAAGGCATCTGTGTCTTTGTGCGTACACATGTGCCAATGTCTGATAAAAAAAGAAATTAATCAACCTTTAACCATTCTGCACTAGTTTTCATAGGACCAACGTCAGCTATGTTTATTGTACGTGCCAAGTCTTCCAATAGGTCTTTCTTAAAAATTATAAAATTGTATATAAAATAATAATATTTTCTCTCAAAATTTACATATAATACATACCATTTCTTTTCGACTTTCTCCTTTTGTACGTAACCTTCCTCTTGCTACTTGTGGATGCAATCTCATCTATTGAAGCATTATTTCTTTTTGTTTCTGTGTTGTATTCATTTAAGATAATTATACAATACTCCCGCAGCTCAAAAATCGATGAAATTAGGCTTATTCGACGCGTTTTTGCAACGAAAGAATCTGGCAGAAATAAGCCGCGGACCGAAATATTAAGCGTTAATTGACGATTATGGATTTCGACTATGCGGCCCTTTTAGTTGAAATCCATGTGCGACAGAACAGTTATAGAAATATTAATCTTTAAATTTCGTATAGGTACTTTGGCTCGAAGAGTAACAAAGCACATGCGCATGAGGTCACAAAGCATGGAAGTTACTAGATATTTACTAAAGTATTATAAAATACGAAACACGCGTACATCACTTTTCCCTTTTAATCAAATTGGTTGATGGTTAAGGGCCTGAGCACAATAGAGGAACAGGAATTAGATATTAAGATTTTAACCTATCAGAAACTGATTTCATCGGAATACATGGTTTCTGATAGGTTGAAATCTTAATATCTAATTCTTGTTCCTCTATTGTGCGCAGGCCCTAAAAGTGAAAGATAAACATATTGAAAGACAATGTGGTTAGCACTGTCTTACTAGTGACTTTTGCTTCGCAACATTACGTGAGTGATTAAAATTGTTGTGTTAACCCAAATTTTATATTTAAAATATAAAGAGGAAGTGATAATAGTATTTTACACATGTTAAATAACGGTATTTTATAATAGTTATTATAAATATTGCAAACTTTTTCACTTTTCACGATTTTATTCTATGGGAAAAATTACGTTATTGTTAGGTAAAATCAAGTTCGCGTGAAAAGTTTCATGATTGACCCCCCGAACACGACAAGACGGCTGTGTTAGGGTCGTCGGGTGAGAAATCTATCTTTTTAGGTTATAATATAAGTCCTGCATATAATAGAAAAGATTAAGAAATTCCCAAATATAGGAATAAATATTAAATATTAGAAATAAAAAATTAAAGGAAATGAATGTGTAAATGCTTAATAGATACAAATAGGATATGAGACATATTATACATATTTTGTGAACCATATTTTATTAATTGTATTTATTGTGCGTTACGTTTAATCTCTATTCCTAATTTTTTCTTTTTCTAGTATTTAATATTTACTCATATTCTTGATATTATTTCTTCTATTATGCGAACCATATATACATACGCAGATACGCTTTCCATTTGCCTTTCATCAGGTTACGTTTTCTAACTTATAAATTGTGCTTATGACCGGTCAAAAATAGAAAAACTTCAGCACGCTATTTGTTTCGGACCGACCATTAATGTCGTAAGCACTGATAGAACTGTGAGTGTGAATCGGACCGCGGCCTAAAATGGTATTGTTTGCGAATTCGATTACGAAACGGTAAGTTATATTAATGAATTACATGTATTTTTATTTTTACCTAAGTACCGATATATCTTACATGAAATTGTTAATTGTTAATTGTTAATTGTTAATTGTTTAAAAATTTCTGAATTTTCACATAATAATTAATTGTAATCTATTAAATGTTTCTCTCTTTAGACGAAGGTGTCGCTGAAACTACAATAAATATATTAATTAAGTTCTAATATATAGTTTTAATTATACAAATATCACGTACATTATAAATTTGTGTTAATTTGGAATTTTATAATTATCAATTATTATAATAATAATAAAAAAAATAATAATAAAAATTATTATTATTATTATTGATAATTATAAAATTCCAAATTAACACAAATTTAT